TAAAAGAGCGACCGAGAAGACGCGAAAAGCGAGTTTTGTGTCCTCTGCATACGTATTACGTAGCAAGTATGCGCATAGGTGTGTATGGACACAACCACGAGAAAACAAGTGTACGCGGGACTCACTCATCGATGCTGCTTCTGCTGCTGCTTCCACGCTAGAGATCGCGCGTGGACGAGAGAGAGAGAATCGTTTGTATACACTCGCGGCCCCGTGAGGTCGCTTTTATACGCGCACTCTCTCACATACTTGGGCCGTTCATGGACGTTCTTACGCAGGGACGCTGGCGAGCGTGAAGTAAGTTATAAATTGGCCCTCTAATACGTGGACGAATTTATTCTCGTTGCCACTAATGGGTCATAGCTCATTATGCGTTGCTAATGGATTATCATCATTTCTTTAGGACTTATTGGCCTTCTCTTGCTCGATTGATTTGATACATTTTATTCGATCAATGCCAAATGTTATTTATATTCCGTAGATTATCGTTTCTTTAGAAATCATTCACCTCGGTGAGTAGATTTCGCATGGGAGAATTTCTTTCGTCGTTGCGTTTGCACTCAAATTAAATTAATGTCCCACTAAGTAAGTTTCTTCCTAACTGGGATTAGAGAGACGACGTTCTCAATCTGAACCGGTTTGTTTGGGAAACTTGTGCGCCGCTGATACAAGAAATATTCTCTGCTTGTTTCCCATCAAACGATATTCGTCCGATGATAATAATTACTCTACTTAACCTATTTCTCTTCTTTTATTTTCAACACTTTCGGTGAGACGTAATGCGTCTGTCAGCAGTATGTGGAATGTTTTACGAACAACTTTCTTTGTTTCTTTAGAAGTGATTTATTCCGTGAAGCGAGTCCAGAATGGGTGCGGAAACAATAAGAAAAGTTGTCGCGGTTTATGTGGAAAATTCTGATTCAGAGCGGAAGAGGATATAGGGAACGGCAAAGAGGGGAGGGGTTGGCGAAGTCGGCGGAGTGTATGTAACTTTGAAACTCAACAAGGGTATATTCATCGCGTTCCCCTACCCATAGAAGAGAAGAGAAGAGAAGAGAATAGAAGAGGACACGAGCTGCTGGCACATGTCTTCAGCCGCACCGGCATTGTTCTTTTTATGTATGCTTCTCGATCGAGTCCTTCTTAACCCGACCGCGCGATGCGCCGGCGAGAGGCAAAGTTATGCGAATGGATGATCTCTCGTACAAGAGATGCCGTAACGATTCTTTGCATCGTAATGCTCGAACGGACCGCGACCGTGCGCGCGCACACAGTCAGATCTGATTTAACGTCAACTCGTTGGCCGGCATGGAGACGCTTAAAGGGATGTTAAACGGTTTTGAGAAGTGTTCCGTCCGCTCGAATTGTTGCGGTCCTACTCGCCACCTGTCGGCCTCTCTCTGTCTCTTCAAGGTTTCAAATATGAATGCAACAACGAATGTTGTATACTCGTGGAGACTCGACAGCAGTCCGTCCGTGTTCCTTGTACTTTCTCCCACGTACACCACTCCTGCCTGCTGCTGCTGCTGCTGCACGCTTTTGCTCTGTAGGTTATTACTGGCTGAAAGTTTGAAGCGGCGAACGATTGTACCGTCAGTTTACCGTCGTTGCTCCTATTATCGCTTTTGTTCAACGAACGTAACTGGCGACGCCTTTTGTCAGTGGCTAATTAAAAGTTTCCACCAACTTGCAACGTCTTTAACGTTGAATTTTTCTGCTACCGTGTCCCGTTGTTCCCTTCGCGCGAACACGAGCCGCGCGATGGTTGAATGGATTCTCCGTAACTTCTGCCGAGAGAAATAGTTTGCCAAGGTAAACGCCCAGGGACGATGCTGAAACGTAGCGAGCCAAATGTTTTCCAAATTGACTCGCGCAAGCTCGAATACTACTACTGCTCCTCGGCACGAGCCGGGATGAGTCACTGCCGGTGAGCCGATTTGACTATCACGGTGCAAAGGCAGCGAGTTATTAATGCGTGCACCTATATCGATCAGCGCGTAAGAGAGAAGGAAAAGAGAGAGAGAGAGAGAGACCGGAGGTTCGTGTTTCGAGCGTACTTTGCATGTGCATCGACATTTGCAGAACAGAGTGCGATCTCAAGGCCGACGCGCCAACTGAATTTATAGAGTTCAACAAATTCTTGCTCGACTTCTTTTCTCATTACTTTTTCTCTTCGATTCTTTTATCCTTTTTCTTCATCTTTCTCATTTTACTCATTCAGATTAAAAGTCTAAAGATTTTAGCTTTGCCAGAATGAAGATGACTGATAGGTTAGACGGATATATTTCAGAAGAACAAACGTTGACGAAATATTTGTGTTATCTTGAAAGCAATTCAGAGATGATTCATAAATATATAGTGACACATAGTTTCTGTTATAATTTACATTCTAAATAAATTAGAAAATTATTGTACAAACGTAGATGATACGTACAATAATTGATAATTGGTTATAAATGTAATTTAACGTCGCACCTTATGTTTGCTAAAAAAAAAAAAAGAAAAAAAATGCCAGGAACAAGAAAAAGGTTTTAAATATATATCGATTAATTTATTGATATAAATTACTACAGTGAGGATTTAAACGATTCCACGGTCGGTCAGTTAATGCGATATTGAAGCAAAAGCCATTTCAAAAATTTTCCACTAATTTTTCATAAATATAACATTTGATTTAATACGTAAAGTGTTATCTTGTATTTGTGAATCATCATGCTTACGATCTTTAAATAGATTAATTATTTGCTTAAAGATTTCTATATAATCGCGTTATCAAATTATTATAAATAAATTATCACTACTTATTTACATATTTACTTGAATTAAAATACTTATTATCATTTTCAGTTGCATCTACGATATTTACAAAAATCTTTAAAAGAAATACTTATGCAATGTATAATTGTTTTAAATTTAATTTTTAAATTTTCTTAAAAACAATTTTTCATTCCGTTCTTCAAAATGAAGAACAGAAATTTTTTCTTGTATAATAATTAGTATATTATAAGTAACAAGTTGTGCTTTCATTGATTTTTTTTTTGTTTTTTTTTTACATCGAATAATTTGTAAAATTCTATTTGTTTTATTGATATTATTAAACTTGTTGCGCAAAGAGAACATACCAGCATTCGTGATCGGTACAATTTTGCTGATAATATTGGTTTAATAATAGAAGAAGGCTGGTGAAATAACATTCGCGCAACGTCAGTGCCATTTACAATTTAATCGAACTGGCCGAACGTGAAACTGTTCTTCTTCCTGGCGTCTGGATTTTGCTCTAAAAAAAAAAAAAAA